CTTATTGTAGAGATGAGGTCTCGCCAAGTTGCCCAGGCAGGTCTCGAACCTGCGGGCTCAGGCAACCCACTCACCTCAGCCTCCCAAAGCGGGGTTACAGGCTGAGCCACCAAGCCCGGCGACATTTACTTTGTGAATCAGTATGTGTGTGTGTGCGCGCGCACACACACACACACACACACACACACACACACACACACAAAACATTGAAGTGTACTCTGATATTTTCTATTGTATTCCAATTCATTAAAAAATATGTTATGTACCCCACAATGCCATAATAAAAAATATTGACTAATAAAAAATATATATATATAAGTCATGATCTTCTAAAATGATGCCATGACCCATAAAAAGGCAAACCTCTCCAGTTTGAAAATACCTGAGTAGACAATGAGCATGGAGGCTTTTTAACTTTTATGTTCCTAACACCCAGTATCTTGGAGGAACTCGGTTCCTGCTGAACTGAAACTTGAATTACACTTCTTGCACTACCTAGTCCAGTGCTAGGTGTGCAGAAGCATCTAGTCCCACTTCCCCAGTGGCTCCATGCCCAGATATTGTATGTTTTCAGGCTCAGTTTCAATGCCATGCCCTCCATGGGAGGGTTCTTCAGATAGAAACGGTCTTGCCAGTCTGCTGGGTCACTCTTGGAGCGCTGACCACGTCCACTTTATGTGATAGCAGTTTGTGTGCATGCCTCATTTTCTGTACAAGCTTCATGAAGGCAAAGTTTGAGTCCCATTCATCTGTGCACCCCCCATGTCATGCAACCCTTGCTTTGTATGTTAATTACTGTTGAAGGAACAAAGGACAGCAGCCTGTGTGTTGGTATTGGTTGTCTGTTGAATTAAAGGCACTCCGCATGCATGTGGAAAGCTGTGTGTCTGCTGCCCTGGTCCCTGAGACCCTTTCCCACACCCTTGCTCCACACCGCCATAACTCCAACCACACAGTGAGCTCCCATGTCCTCTTCTAGTGACCTGTATTTTTTTTCTGTTAATTCAATTTGTCCTGTGCCTGTTATGAGTTCATCCGCCATACTGTAACTACGCCATGGAAGATACTCACTTATCCAGTGCAATCTGCCAGTAGCCTTGCTTGGTGACTGGGACCCAGTTCAGGCTCCCAGAGAAATGGGAGTGGTCATAGCCTCCTAAAATCAGCTCGCTCCCTGCACCACCTTCTGGGCTGCTACATGGAGAAAAAGGCAAGAAGTCGAGGAAGGGCCACTGCAAAACCTTAGTGGGGAGTCTCAGCTAGGACCCTTTACTTCTTGGTCTGGTTACTCATACTAACTGTCTAGGTAGAAACATCAACTTGGACGTTGAGACCAGGACTCTGACTACTGCAAGTTGATTAGTCTGGACCTTTTCGGCATAAGGATAGAAACAGCTCCACTCAGTGATGTTTGAATGTCCTCCTGCTTCATGGTTAAACAGGTTATGGAGGCTGAGTGCTGTGGCTCATGCCTGTAATCCCAGCACTTCGGGAAGCCGAGATGGGAGGATCGCTTGAGCCCAGGAATTCAACACCAGCATGGAGAGCATAGTGAGATTCTGTCACTACAAAAAATCAAAAAATTACCTGGGTGTGGTGGTGGGTGCCTATAGTCCCAGCAGCTATTGGGAGGCTGAGACAGAAGGATCACCTGAGCCCAGGAGGTCAAGGCTGCAGGGAGTTGTGATGGTGCCACTGCACTCCTTCCTGGGTGACAGAGTGAGACCCAACTTGAAAGAAAGAGAAAGGAAGGAGGGAAGAGAGACAGAGACAGAGAGAGAGAGCGAGAGAAGAAAGAAAGGGGGGAAAAGAGAGAAAGAGAGAAAGAAAGGAAGGGAGAGAGAAAAAAGAAAGAGAGAGGAGGGAAAGAGAGAGAAAGAGAAAGAAAGAAAGAAGAAAGAAAGAAAGAAAGAAAGAAAGAAAGAAAGAAAGAAAGAAAGAAAGAAAAGAAAGAAAGAAGGAAAGAAGGAAAGAAGGAAAGAAAGAAAAAGGGAGAAAAGCTATGGAGGTGGGAAATGGGGGCAGTCGGTCTGGTCATTCGGACCCAAGGCCAGGACTATCCTGTGTGGGTACATACTGTGTGACTTGAAGCACCCCCAAAAAGCACCTTTTCCCAAAGTATCTTCCCCACTGTGGCTATGGTGGTGCCTGGAGTTTTTGTGTGATTTACTTTGTGTTAAGGCAAAAAATGCTAATCTGAATGTATCATGACTTACTAGAGCTTGGATATTTATTAATTTTCATTTTGAAGATTATGTTCTGACACCTAGCAAAATTCTGGAGACATAGGACACAAAACAGATTCATTTTCAGAAGGAAAAGGATCAGAAAACTACAAAACTGCAAGTCAGGGTAGTGAAGAGGGAGGGAACTGAATAGCTGTAGGAATTTTAGGAAAGTGTTTTTAGAGAGGGACAGGGAAGGACCTAACATTTGTTGATGGTCTTCGTGCAAGGTGCTTTGTTTGAGACTGTACCTACCAACACTTAGTTAACTCTCACATCAACCCAGGGTCCATTTGAAGAAACTGAGCCTCAGGGAGATGAAGTAGTGTAAGTGGTAGGCTTTCAATCCAGGCCAGGCCAGATGTGGTCTGGGTGACACATGGTGGCTCACGCCTGTAATCCCAGCACTTTGGGAGGAGGATTGCTTGAGCCCAGGAGTTTGAGACCAGCCTGGGCAACATAACAAAACCTCATCTCTACAATAAATAAAAAAATTAACCAGGGATGGTTGCACATGCCTGTAGTCCCAGCAGTTTAAGAGGCTAAGGTGAGAGGATCTCCTGAGCCCAGTAGGTCAAGGCTGCAGTGAACCATGATTGTACCACTACACCTTAGCCTGGGCACTAGAGTGAGACCCTGACTCAAAAAATCAAATAAATAAAATAAAAATTAAAAATAAAAGAAGAGTGAACCATTTCCAAAATGTTGAAAAGCACAAGTTATTTCCATCCTACTTTTCTTGTGCAGCTGAATGCTTTCTCTAGACATGAGAAATTGGATATCCTCTTTTAAAAAAATAAAACTAAAAAAAAAAAAAAAAATCCAGGCCAGTCTGCCTGCCATGCCCTTGCTGTTCCCCATCACAGCCAATTTCTTCCAGGAGGAGGGGCAAGAAACCATGTGAGGGATAGGAGAGGTGTCCAGACAACCTGCCTCTCTTACTCACGTTTCCGCCCAGGCCTGGTCCCAAGTGGAGCCATGCTGAAGAGGAAGCACAGCTTGGTAGAGGAAATTCAGGCCTTTCCACGTGGCCTACTCTGAAACAGACTGAGTCCAGGCCAGGTCTGACCAGGAAGGAGTCAGGAAGGTGAGAGATCTGTGTAAGGAGGAAGATGACCCGACCCTCTAATGACCCCAGCCAAGAGTGCAGGTGGGCCTCCTGGCCTTTCCAACTACAATATGCAAGTATTTTTTCCCCAAAATGTCATAAAATACACATAACATAAAATTTACCATCGTGTGTGCGCGCACACGTGTGTGTGTGTGTGTGTGTGTGTGTGTGTGTGTGTGTGTGTGTGAGGTTTCACTCTGTTGCCCAGGCTGAAGTGCAGAGACATGATCACGGTTAACCGCAGCTTTGACCTGCTGGGCTCTGGCAATCCTTCCACCCCAGCCTCCCAAGTAGCTGGGACTACCAGTGTGTGCCACCATACCTAGCTAATTTTTAAATTTTTTTGTAGAAACAAGGGCTCACTACATTTCCTAGGCTGATCTCAAACTCCTGGGCTCAAGCAATTCTCCCATCTTGGCCTCCCCAAGTGCTGGGATTATAGGTGTGAGCACCACACCCCACAATCTTACTCATTTTTAAGTCTACAGTTCAGTAATATTAAGCAAATTCATGGTACTATAAAGTCAATTTCCAGAACTTTTTAATTTTGTAGAACTGAAACTCAATACCCATTAGTCCATCAACAAAAGTCTTATTTAAGAACTCCCCACTGGTGACCCCTGCCTCCAGCTCTGGTAATGACCATTCTAATTTCTGCTTATGAATCTGGCTATTCTAGGTGCCTTTTACAAGTGGAAACATGCACCATTTCTCCTTTTGTGACTGGCTTATTTCACTTAACATGATGTCCTCAAGTTTCATCTATGCTGTGACTTGTGTCAGAATTTCCTTCCTTTTTAAGGCTGAATAATAGATTCCATTGTATGGATAAACCACATTTTGTTTATCCATCCATTAACATGAAATTATTTTATTGTTAGTTTAATTTTTAATCTCTTCTTGCCCTCCCTCACTACAGAGACTGTCTTGTTTTATTGTGTTCCCGATGTCTATCATCATGAGTAGCATATAATTGGAGCCTGATATTTGTTGACAGCATAAATGAACAGTCAATTCCATAAATTCCTTAAGTTTAACCCTGAGTGGTAGAGTTTACAACATACTTTCACAACTCTTTTCTGAGGCAAATTCTATTTCCTAAATATTCAAAGAGGTTAAGTGTTTTGTCCAAGATCACACAGTTGGTAATAAGCCAAGTGGGAGATGTTTTGACTGCTAAGTCTATTGCACCATGTTGTCTCCCTGTAGTCATAACTGATCTTAACCTGGTGGGCTTGATGGACCTTACCTGCTCATGTAGACAGAAAACATCGCTACATTCACCAGGTTCTGAGCCATCATGTTGTCGAACACTGGGGTCACTCCTCCCACAGCCAAAGAGGGGTATCCCAGGCCCAGAATTCCATCAAACTCTGCATCCACAAAGGTTTCACCTGGCTCTGTGACACTTTCTCCAAACTGCTGGCCAGCCACTGTCAGTCCTTCCACCTGGCAGGAGAAAGCCCACAGAATTGCGCGGGGGATCGTTGGCAAAGGGTCTCAGATTCCTGTATTTTTGCACTGTCCTGATGCTAATTCTTCTTTTCAATTTTTCTTGACCAAATGGACACAAAGATTTTTGCCATATTCCCAAGAAGCAGGGTATTCCAAAACCCAGAAGCCCCTTCACGCATCCTGTCAATCATTACATCCTTCCTCAAGAGGCACTGTCTCCTGACTTCTCATGGCATATGTTGTTTTTGCCTGAAATCTGAAATTCTCCAAAATCCAAACTTTTTTTTTTTGAGCATGTTGACACGATGCTCAAAGGAGATGCTCATTGGAGCATCTCAGCTTCTGGAGTTTCCAATTTAGGATTCTCAACCAGTAAGTGTAATACAAATATTCCAACATCTGAAAAATTCAAAATCTGAAATACTTCTGGTCCATCCCAAGCATTTTAGATAAGGGATACTCAACTTGTATCTAGAAATTCAAAGGATTTTTAAAATGTTGATCTCATATCCAGCAACTTTGCAAATTTCACTTATTAAGTACAACTTTACTTCTGTATGTAGTTTTGCATTTTCTGCATATAGAATTGTGTCATGTTAATAATAACCTGAGTTTCTGGCCAAGAGAGAAAGATGAAGGAATTGCACTCACAGAGACTTGGTCAGCTCCGATGATCCCAGACAAGCTCCCAGTTCCATACTGAATGGAGAAAGATTGCCCTGGCTGGCTGTATGTGTTGGACCGGGAAGGATAGAATCTGGCGTGTGTCTCTGAAAAGCAAGGGTGCTGCTCTTGCCTAGGCCACTGGCTCACCGCCTTCACCCCTGCCCTGATGACACCCAGACCCAGGTATTGTCCCTCTGCTCCTAACACTGGGCAGGGGCCTCTAGAAAGGCCAGCCATGCCCCTCCCAAGTGAGCGACTACATTTCCCTCTAGCCACAGGTGTGGCCTATTTGGGGGCCAAATAATTGTTCCTAGGTAAACCTGATTGTCCACAATGACCTCATGAGACACACCAAGGTAAGTACCATTTATCAGGCGCCAGCTGCAATCTCTGCCATCCAGTGTGGGTCAGGGCCTGACTTTCAAAAGAAACTCAGTGCTAAATAATTGCCACTACAGGAAATTATTCCCAAGTCTTCACCTAACCTGTAGACGTCTAACTTTGGGGCTTCCAGAGACAAGATGTCTCTGAAACTTGTCCTGCATCAGCCAAAACAGCTTCCTTTAGCTCTTCTTTTCCAAACCTCACAGAAAACTCTGAGTTACCTTTGGCCACCGGGACCTACCCCTGCCATGGTGCCTCAGCAGCCCCACCTCTGTTGCACTGGGAGATAGGCCACTAAGCCTCCTTAAAGCAAGTAGACAGTCTGCACTAGAACCTGACCCTCCCACCTGCCCAGAAAAGGCCAGCTGAATGGAACTTTCCCCTTTGAGTGTTCTAAAGGAAGTGAGTCGTCATGTCAAAGATTTCTCTTTTCATTGGTTGCCTTTCTTCCTATGAACTCTGATCAGTATGAAAGTTGCTATCATGGAGAGCAGTCACATTTCAGCTCTATCTCCAGCCCAGCCCTATTTTTGCTGTAATCGTTTCCAGGGCAGACTCAGAAGGGGAAACTGGCAGAGCAGAGATGGCCAGTTTCTGGAACCCAAGCCCCCAACTCCCCAGAGTACCAGGCCCTGGCTTCCCAGAACTGGCCCAGCCATTCCCTGCTGTGGCTTCTGGCCCACTTACTGCAGGCTGGGCTGGTGCAGTACACAGAGGGGACCCAGAGATTGGAGGAGCCGGTGTCAAAGATGACAGTGAAGTTCTGTGGTGGGGAGCCAATGGAGATTGTGCCAAAGTATTCCATCTACAAGGAAGGACATGAAAGAAGGAGAGTATGGGCGGTGGGGAGGGAGAAGAGTGCTCACCAGGACGCCGGGGAACAGTGCTCTGGGGCCAGGTCCTGGGGTGCTACAGACTTGAGTTCACAGAACCTTAAGAAGTGGCAAGCCTTAAGAAGGGCTTGGTGGCTCAGCCTGTAATCCCAGCGCTTTGGGAGGCTGGGGTGAGTGGATTGCCTGAGCCCACAGGTTCGAGACCTGCCTGGGCAACTTGGCAAGACCTCATCTCTACAATAAATCAAAAAATTAGCCTGGCATGGTAGCACGTGCCTGTAGTTCCAGCTACTCGGAGGGCTGAGGCGGAAGGATCGCCGGAGCCCAGCAGGTCGAGGCTGCGGTGGGGGAGCAGCCACTGCACTCTAGCTGGGCGACTGAGTGAGACTCCAATTCAAAAAAAAAAAAGTGGCAAAACTGGGAAATAAAAGGTAAACGGAGAGGAAGGGCCATGAGGGATGAAATAAAATCAAACCTCTTGCTACTTCCTTGAGTTTTACTTGGCGCTATCCTTATTCTCATCATTATATCTTGGCAAGGCAGAGGCGGGAGGAACACCTCATTTCTACAGATCAGGGAACTAAGGCTGGGAGAGGTTAATTAACTTGTCTGTGGGTGCACAGCTAGGAAACTGCCCAGCTGGGAGCAGAAACAGGGGTCTTCAGGGCAGGGTACTTGTCACCCTCAGCCTTTACCTCCCATAGAGGTACACATTTGGGCTCACGGGGGCCTGCTTAGCTGAGTCCACAGGGACCCAGGGCACCTGTCCACATGGATCAGGGATAAGGGAAGAAAATCGCATGGCCTTGGGACCTGGTGATGTGGCATTGGCCGTGCCCTGGGGCTGGACCTTCTTCCCCTGCCCCACCGCTCCCAGGCCCCTGCCCCAGGATGTCTCACATCCAGGTAGTTGACGAGGGGCTCGTTGGCACTCTGGTCCACTGAGCAGGACTCGGTAAACTGGATCATGTCCAGATTCTGGGATTTCCAGAACTCCGAGAGCTGGCCCCGTGCCCGCAGCTTCTTCCGGAGGGATGGATACCTCCTGAGGGACACCCTGAGGACAAGGTCTCATATGAGAAGGAGATGCCCTTCCACCCTCCTCCTTTCTTTTCCCTTCTATCATCCCATTTTTTCCAGAAGTTCACTAGAGATGGCACAGGAGGGGATCTGCAGGGCAGCATGCCAGGAGATGACCGGAATCAGCGCCCTCTCAGCCAGCCAGCCTGCCCAGCCTCATCTCTGCCCTGTAGACTCAGAATTCCAGAGAGGAAATGGCTCTACTTCCCGGAGATGGGCTTTTTGAGACCTCCTGGGAAAATGGAAGCTGTGGGACAGTCTGCAATTGTACATGAACCCCATGAAAGGCTGATTTAAAGGGAATGAAAATCACGGGACAGCGGTGGTCAATCCCTTGGAAGTACTTGGGTAGTACTTTGTGCTACAAACCCCAACTGGGATTCTGCTCTTTAGCAACCCGAGACCCTCTCCGGGGCTTGGACACCTCCACTGGGGGTGGAGGCAAGGGGATGACTTGGTGTGGACTGGAGATGAAGGCCATCCACAAGGTGGCCACTTGGTAAACTTTTTCCATGGATTCTCACAAGTCCTAGGATTTCTTCTCTTCATTTCCCCCATCAGCTTTCCTCTCCCAGGGCTGCCCAGAGCTGGAGGGCAGGGGGGAGGAGAGTGGAGGGGGCGAGAGGTGGGACTGGCCTATCTGAACCCAGTGCTAGGGATGGGTCCTCACCTGTGAAGTGATCCTTGGGCCTGTCCCAGGTCCAGGAGCACCAGCAGCAAAAGAAGGAGCACTTTCATGGTGGGTACGATCAGTTGTTTCTTCTTCACCCTTCCTTTCTTCTCTTCCACAGGGCAGTGGGAATGACCCTCCCTAACTCTCAGAACTGCCCTGCCCTGCCCAGTCTGAGGACCCAGTGATAAGGCCCTGGAGTCATTAGCCATGCCCAGAGTAAACACAACATGTGGAACAGGGTGTTTTCCCTCCTCCCTTCTGTCTCCTTCCCTCCTGCAAGGGGACTGTGGGGGCGGAGGGAGGGAGTGAGAACTCGTGGTCTGTACACCCTCTGTGAGTAAGAGGGTCATCCAAGCCTCAGGTTCTCCCAGGACTTTGGCACCCTGTCCCGACCCCAGGTAACTCTGTATTAATTAATTGAGAGAGCTACGTGTCTCTGGACACTGGGAACCACCCTACCGAATTGTGACTACTAGTTTCATGACAAATGAAGATTCCGGAGGGGCGGAAGCTGAATTGTCATATGTGTGGCAGGATTCTAACTCAAAATAGTGATCAGCCTGTTCTCTCAGTGTTTCCCTATTCTCTCTTCATTCTCTCAGATGCCCCAAAAGCAGTTTGCCTGGGTGCACATCAAAGCAGAAACCAACACTCCCTGAAAGGGCCAACATAGTATCTTGGCTGTAGATTCATGGAGCCAACTTTCCTGATCCCAAGGACTTGGTGAATCCAGGGCTGGGGTTGAAGAGAATTTAGAGACAGCCATGGTGAGTCAAGGAGGGGACAGGGTGCCTGCCTGAGTTTGCTAGGAATGCCATAATTAAGTACTACCGTCAGAGTGGCCTAAACAATAATCATTTATTTTCTTGTGATTCTGGAGGCTCCAAGATCAAGGTGTCAACAAAGTTGACTGTTTCTGAGGCCTCCCTCTGTGACTTGTAGACTCTACCTTCTCTGTGTCTTCATATTGGTCTCCTCTCTGTGTGTGTCTGTGTCAAAATTACCTCTTCTTATAAGGACACCAGTCATATTGGAGTAGAGCCCACCCTAATGACCTCATTTAAGCTCAATACCTCTTTTTTTTTTTTTTTTTTTTTTTAGTCAGAGTCTCACTCTGTCTGCTGGAGTGCAGTGGAATGATCATGGCTTACTAAAGCCTAGACCTCCTGAGCTCAGGCCATCTTCCTACCTCAGCCTTGCAGGTAGCTAGGACTACAGGCATGTGCCACCACACCTGGCTAATTTTTTGAGTTTTTATAGAGATGAGTCTTGCTATGTTGTCCAAGCTGGTCTTGAGCTCTTGGGCTTAAGTGATCCTCCCACCTTGGCATCCAAAAATGCTGGAATTACAGGTATAAGCCACTGCACCTGGCCTTCAATACCTCTTTAAAGACCCTATCTTCAAATATAGCCACATTCTGAGGTACTGGGGGTTAGGACTTCAACAGATGGATTTTGGAGGGTACAGCTCAGGGACAACAAGATCCCCAGTCTATCAAGTGGGACTAAGGACAGGGGTGGAGAGCTGGCAGGGCTCCAGCCTTAGTAACCTGAGAGTGTGAAACACCCCTACCAACAGCCCATTTCTATGGGCATCCACCTCCTACACAGAGGACCTTTGCTGCCTTGGGTGGGGTTGGAGAGGTGACGGGAAGGAAGATCCTTCCTGACCCTGACTCAAATTAATTGAACCCTCTAAGCCAGGGCAGCAGATGCCACCAACACTGTTAAGCAAGTCTATTGGTGCCATTTTCCCATGCCAATGCTTCCAAAGGGCACTAGCTATGAAGTAGAAAGTAGGCAGTCTGGGTTTAGGTTTAGCTCTGCCCTGATCAGCTAGTGTTCTGGCAAATCTCTTAATTGGTATGGGTTCTGCCTTCTGTCTCTGAAGCTCAAGAAACAAGCAGACTTGGAGCCTGGAGCTAAGCCAAACTTCCTGGGGTCCAAAAATGCTATAAAGACGTCAAAACCACTTGAGAAACAACCAAACCTTTGACTCTTGACCCCAAGGCAATAAAGCTTCTTTAGCTTTCACCCACTTCCCAGGAGTCTGTCTTTTTGACCTTTCGCTAGGGAGAAAAGACCTACCCCCAGAAGGGCAACTTGAGACAGAAGCAGCTAGAAGTCGAGATCATTTGTGTTAGCACTGAGCTCTGACATGGTTTGCCTATAATTGCCTAAACACCAGATACCTTGGTTTTGCCATCTAGCAAAAACCCTACTTACATCAGTGGGTTTTAAGGAGGATGAAATATACAAAATAAGATACAGATATACCTTGTTTTATTGTGCTCTGCTTTATCATGCTTCACAGACACTGCACTTTTTACAATTTGAAGGTTTGTGGCAACCTTGTGTCAACTAAATCTATAGATGCCATTTTCTCAACAGCATGTACTTACTTTGTGTCTCTGTGTCACATTTCAGCACTATTTCAAACCATTTAATAATTTTTATATCTGCTATGGTGACCCATGATCAGTGATCTTTGATGTTAATATTGCAATTGTTTTGAGGCACCATGAACGGCACTCATATAAAATGGTCAGTTTAATGGATAAATGTTGTTATATTCTGACTGCTCCAGCAACTGACTTTTTCTCTCCCTCTTCTTGGGCCTCCCTGTACCCTGAGACACAACAGTATTAAAATTAGGTCAATTAATAACCTTACAGTGGCCTCTAAGTGTTCAAGTGAAAGGAAGAGTCGTGTCTCTGACTCTAAATCAAAAGCTAGAAATGATTAAGCTTAGGGAGGAAGATATGTTGAAAGCCAAGATAGACTAAAAGCTAGGCCTCTTGTACCTCTAGACAAGTTGTGAATGCAAAGGAAAAGTTCTCAAAAGAAGTTAAAAGCGTGACTCCAGTGAACTCATAAATAATAAAGCCTTATTACTGATATAAAGGAAGTTTGAGTGGTCTAGGTAGAAGCTCAAAACCAGCTATAACATTCTCTTAAGCCAAAGACTAATTCAGAACAAGATCCTAACTCTCTTTAATTCTATGAAGGCTAAGAGAGGTGAGGGAGCTACAGAAGAAAAGTAGGAAGCTAGCAGAGGTTGGTTCATAAGATTAAGGAAAGAAACCATTTCCATAACATAAAAGTACAAGAAGACGTAGTAAGTGCTGATGTTGAAGCTGCAGCAAGTTGTCCAGAAGATCTAGCTGAGATTTTTGATGAAGAAGGCTACTCTAAAAAACAGATTTTCAGCCTGGTGCAGTGGCTCACACCTGTAATCCCAGCACTTAGAGAGACCAAGGCAGGAGGATCACTTGAGGCCAGAAGTCCAAGACCAGCCTGGGCAACATAGTGAGACCTCTTACTCTACAAAAAATTTAAAAGTTTAGCCAGATGTGGTGGCATGTGCCTGTACTCCCAGCTACACAAGAGGCAGAGGTAGGAGGATTGCCTGAGCCCAGGAGATTGAGGCTGTGGTGAGCTGTGATTGTGCCACTGCACTCCAGCCTGGGCGACAGAGTGAGACCCCCAGACCAAAATAAAAATAAATAACTAAAATAAAAATAAATAAATAAAGGATTTCATTGTAGACGAATCAACCGTCTATTGGAAGAAGATGTCATCTAGGACTCTCATAGCTAGAGAGAAGAAGTCAATGCTCAGCTTCAAAGCTTCAAAGGCAAGCCTCTCTTGTTAGGGTTTAATATAGCTGGTGACTTTAGTTGAAGCTATTGTTCATTTATCATTCTGAAAATTCTAAGACCCTTAAGAACTATGTTAAATTGACTCTTCCTGTGCTCTATCAAGCGGAAAACAAAGCCTAGATGATAGCACATCATTTACAACGTAGTTTACTAAATATTTTAAGACCACTGTTGAGTCCTACTGCTCAGAAGAAAATATTTCTTTCAAAAGAGGACTGCTCATTGACAAGAGCTTGGATGGAGATGTACAAGGAAATCAATGTTCTCATGCCTGCTAACATGACATCTATTCTATAGCCCATGAATCAAACAGTCATTTTGACTTTCAAGTCTTACTATTTAAGACATGTATTTTGCAAGGCTATAGCTGCCGTAGATAGCAATATGGTTTGGATATCTGTCCCCTCTAAACATCATGTTGAAATTTGATACTCCATATTGGAGGTAGTGCCTGGCGGGGCCTGCTTGGGTTATAGGGTGGATCCTGCCAATGGCTTGGTGGCCTGGGGAGTACTGCTGCTTGAAGAGAGTCTTGTACCTCCTCCTCTCATGTTGCTGCCTTTCTCTTGCCATGTGATGCCTACTCCCCTGTGCTGTCACCATGAAGAGATGCTCCTTGACACTGGGGCCATGCTTCTTGTACAGCCCGCAGAACCTGCAGAACGGTGAGCCAAATAAACCCCTTTTCTTATAAATTACCCAACCTCAGGTATTCCTTTATAGCGACACACAATGGACAAAGACAGATAGTGAATCCTCTTACGGATCTGGACGAAGTAAACTGAAAACCTTTCTAAATTCACCATTCTAAATACCATTCAAAACATTCATGATTCATGGGAGAAAGTAAAAAATGTCAACATTAACAGGATTTTGGAAGAAGTTGATTCCAGCTCTCATGGAGGACTTGAGGGGTTTAAGATTTCACTGGAGAAAGGCACTGCAGATGTGGTAGAAATAGCAAGAGAACTAGAATTAGGAACAGAGACTGAAGATGTGACTGAATTGCCACAATCTCATGATCAGACTTGAACAGATGAGAAGTTGCTTCTTATGGATGACATGACATCTATAAGAAAGTGATTTCCTGAGATGGAATCTACTCCTATGAAGATGCTGTGAACATTGTTGAAATAACAACAAAGAATATTATGTAACTTAATTGATAAAGCAGTGGCAGAATGTGAAAGGATTGACTCTGATTTTGAAAGAAGTTCTACTGTGCATAATTTTCTACTATGCATAAAAAGTTCTACTGTGCATAAACCAGCATTGCATGCTACAGAGGAATCTTCACACAAAGAAAAGTCAATTGACATGGTAAATTTCACTGTTGTTTTATTTTAAGAAATGGCCACCGCCATCCCAACCTTCAGCAACTACTACCCTGATCAGTCGGCAGCCATCAGCACCAAGGAAAGACCTTCCATCAGCAAAAAGATGATGACTCATTGAAGATTCATATCATCATTAGCATTGTTTAGCAATAACATATCTTTTAATTAAGGCAAGTACATT